GATAGCTGTTTTAATGTGGACTGTGGGAGATTTTACACTTGATTTGTTGAATCTGAACTCTTTGCTGTAAACTCTCACCACACAGAAGAAACTATCTTTATAAATGACAGAATGGACCTGGCCTGAATGGTGCTTTGTTTACTGTTTTCCTAAAAGGGGCCCCTCTATATTTCATCTGTCAAAGTTGCTTTTCTTTCTTTCAACAATGCTTGATTGTTTTCACAAAAATTCAGGTTCCATAGACAGGAGAATTCTGTATTATATTTTCCTGCCAAATTCCGATCTCTGTTTTCCTTCCCCTGTGCTCACAAAGGGCTCATAACTTACTGTCAACTGTGAGGCAAACCACAAAGCTCCACTGTTGCTCAGCAAATAGGCTCTATTGGATGATGGCTTGACTGGCTGTAAAGTTTGCTTAACTGTAGCAGCAGTGGCAGAAGGCATGTGGGGTACTGTATCTCCCAACAGGCCCAAACGCCTTCACTTCTCGCGGTTGCTTTTATATTTTTAACGACTTTAATTGTTGAACAAAGTTGACAGTGCTTTGTACAACAACTTAGATCTTGCTTGTACGTATGGATAGATGCGGTAGCCTGGGAGCTGGCAGAGATTAACTCAGTGTGATTTCCTGACAGTGGCAGTGGTTCCTTCTGATTTGGGAAGGTGTCAGAGGTGTTATGCCATCAAACTCTGAAGTGCTGGCTGGTGTGGTAGGAGAAGGCAGGACAGAAGAGTGGAAGAACAGCCATTATATGTGAGTGATATGTGCAACTAGTAGTTGTGTTGGTTTTTTTTTTTTTCTCCTATCACTTTAGCTTTTCTAACTAAAATTCTAAAACAAATTATAGTTTTTGAGCTAAAAATAACCTTCTCTGTTACGTTTATAGTCATGTATACTTTTAGATGACGATGCAGAAATTTTATTTAGAGCAATGGTTTTATTTTCAGAAGTCAGTGATACTCACTTACCATCCAAACCGTGTAATTTCTGCTTGCATGCAGCCTAAGACATTTGCAATAGGTACTGAGTAAAATATTGCTTTAATTGAATCAAAGCAAGCTGGGAAGGGAAATTTTTCTTCATCGGTTTATAAATGAAAAAAATGTCTTCAGTTAGATGTATCTCTTGGGTTGATTTTCTACAACAGATGCAGAATGTTTTGTGTTTTTCAAGTGAAGAACGTTTCACTGCTTAACATATGTATAATGTTAGCAAATATTCCATGGAGGTTGTATTGATAAGCTATTTGCTGGGCTTGTCTTTTCACTGTATTTACAGAAAGGTCCTTGAAAATACTAAAATGAATAATTTTGCTGTCTTGAGATTTATTAATTTAGTATTTTAAGTGTGTCTTGCAGAGATGACATGCATTAAAACTACAGTAAATTTAAGTGCCTTTCTGAAGTATTAAATACAGTGCAAGTGATACCATTTTTTTGTTTGATGTTTTGCCCCTTGCATGAGAAAATTCAAAAGAAATGCATATAGCACACAAGTGAGTTGACAGTTTCCATTCCATTCCAGAAGCTGTGCTGGTTGGTTAAAAATATATGTTCCTTTCTTATTTTATTATCCAGTTTGTATTCTTAAAACTGACTTTGCATCCCCAGCCTCTTTCTGAACTTGTATTTAATGTGGTGTTCATCCCGGTGTGGGAGCTTTCAGTTTTATATCGCTTTGATCACTACTTCCCAGTGCAGAAGTGCAGTCAGGTTTTGTAGGAATTCACTATTCGGTGTCAACAAACATTTCTCCCAGCATTTACTGGCTGATTTAAGTAAACTGTAACTCGTGACATGGTATAGTAAATTGATAATGACAATGCCATAGAAATAAATACAACTCTACACGTCTGGTTAGTGAAATAAATCATTGTAAGGAAAGATTTCTTTGTCTGCGAGTGAGAAGAGACTTGTTCCGTTATGAACGTGTTACAAACCTGATTTGAGATCCATCTTTTGATGCAAGTTGTGCCTTTCACAGGGAACTGAGGAGGGCTGGAAACTCAGTCGTATGTGCTTTAGACTTCCTTTGTTTCCTCGGGTTAATTCATTAAGCTCACCGTGTCTCAGTTTCTTCTTTTGTAAAGTAGGAGTGCTGAGAGAGTTGCTTAGTAAAGGTGAAGATATTTTGAGATTTCTGGAACATGAGAAGTTGCTCTGTTTCATAGAATCATAGAATCATAGAATGTTTTGGGTTGGAAGGGACCACTAGAGGTCATCGAGTCCAACCCCCCTGCAGTCAGCAGGGACACCGCCAACTAGATCAGGTTGCTCAGAGCCCCATCCAACCTGGCCTTGAATGTTTCCAGGGATGGGGCCTCCACTACCTCTCTGGGCAACCTGTTCCAGTGGTTTACCACCCTCATTGTAAAGAATTTTTTCCTTATATCTAGCCTAAACCTACCCCGATTTAGTTTAAAACCATTACCCCTTGTCCTAACGCAGCTGGCCCTACTAAAAAGGTTTTCCCCCTCTTTCCTATAGGCCCCCTTTAGGTACTGAAAGGCCGCAATCAGGTCTCCCCGCAGCCTTCTTTTCTCTAGACTGAACAAGCCCAACTCTCTCAGCCTGTCCTCATAGGAGAGGTGCTCCAGCCCTCGGATCATTTTAGTAGCCCTCTTCTGGACCCGCTCCAACACTTCCATGTCCTTCTTGTGCTGAGGGCTCCAGAGCTGGACGCAGTACTCTAGGTGAGGTCTCACCAGAGCTGAGTAGAGGGGCAGAATTACCTCCCTCGACCTGCTGGCCACGCTCCTCCTGATGCAGCCCAGAGTACGGTTGGCCTTCTGGGCTGCCAGGGCACATTGCCGGCTCATGTCCAGCTTTTTATCCACCAGCACCCCCAAGTCCCTCTCGGCAGGGCTGCTCTCAATCCTTTCTCCCCCCAGGCTGTATTGATACTGGGGGTTACCCCATCCCAGGTGCAGGA